GACTGGAAAGCAAAATATTTGCCTTGACAGTTATAAACCGTCATCAAATTAGTTATTCATGACATTTTTAAATTGTGGTGACGATCCATTCCTCATAAATTATATCTGTCGTTGTAATTGCATTAGTGGCAATTTTAAAAAACTTTCACATTTTCCATTTCCTTGATGTTTTAGTCTAGGACTGTTATCAATTTTTAACTCGAAATCAATTTTGTGATAATGAAATTAGTTTCAATTTATTTATTTTAATAGAACACATTAAAATTGATTCTGTAGAAAGTAATGGACTGAAAATCACTTAGATGATGGCTCAACTGCCACAAACCCAACAACTTCACTTGTGTAAGTTGTAACAACTAAACAATATGCCTACGTGTGTGCCAGCTCCTCAGTACTTGTCAACCTCAAATGATGCTATTCGCGTATTTGTACATGTCCATCATTCAATTAAAGACTATTTATTCGGTGCGATAATCCAAGATTCTCATAGGATGGATATTTGAATTCCTATATTTGTTTTAAAGAAATATAAAATACCCATCTTGAGACGTTTCAATACCTATACGGTATCTAAATAGTTTTTTTAGCACTTTTGAAATATGAGTTTCTAAGACTCGTATGTTAAAGGACATCTTCTTATTATATCTTTGCTTTTCAAAATTCTTTTTTTTTTATATATATTTTCTTTCATCCATCTTCTTTATTTTTTATTTTATAATTAAAATAAATATATTAATGTATGTATTCACTAATCAACAACTCTATATTCATCAAGAATCTACGTTGAAAAAAAATTCTATACAATTAAATTTATTTATATATTACATTTATATATAAATAATATTCAATTAAATTAAATTGTATAAAGTTTCCATTTATTTGGTTTGTAAATTCTCTTAAAATTGAGTTTCATTACATATTTCGAAAGAATTATATAGAAACTAATATTATTACTGTCAATTTTTTTTCTTTTTCTAATTTGGTAGTGTAAAAACGTAATCCAATAAAAATATCATCAATTATATAGTTGTATTTTTTTGAAAAAAAAAAGATGAAGTTTAAGTTGAAGTTAAAATTCAAATCAGAGTTAATATTAAATATTGGAAAATTTTAATGGATAACACACATTGCATATTTACCAATATAGCAATATAGCAACATGATTATGATTATAATATGAATTTTTGTAAAAAAAAAAAAAAAAAATCCAAGTGCCTATTTAGACATTCTCACTCCATTCTCGTATATCTACACTATATATAAAAGATACAATTGGGAAAAATTTATCTCCCTATTTTACCCTTTTACTTTAATGTTTTTCTATATTATTTTAATGACATTTTTGTCATTCAACCCCGATCTCTCTCAAATTCCACCCACTTTTCTCTCTTGATCAAATCTTATCAAATTCAACTGGTTCACTCTCCTCCCTCTCCCCACTTCACCTTTTTCTTTCTTTTGTCTTTTTAATAGATTTATTTAAGTTAAAATGAAGAAAAAAACTAGGAAAAGAATGTGAAAAGTTGGAATAAAATTGTTGTCAATTTATTCCTAAAAATTAATGACTTTATATTTAATTATATAATTAATGGAATTTCAAAAGTTGTACAGTGTTTTGATGGTTAAATAATATTTTAAATATAAAAGTATAAAAATATATTAAAATAAATAATTAGATACATTAAATTGAAATGACAAAAATGTTAGAGTGTGATTACGGAAAAGTTTTGTCTAACCTATTTTAAAAAAATCGTTTTGAAATTCATAACTATTGAAAATAGATTAAAAAAATCTACAATCTTTAGGAAAATATGTGGGCAATTTTGTTTCTGTATTTGAAACATGTTACTCACTATTTGTTTTAGTACAATATGTGGAGTGGGGGATTGAACTCACAAYCTGATCTTGGTTTGAAAACTTGATACATAATAATGACAAAATTATATGTCATTAAGTTGAGGTCAATTAAAATTTGACAAGTGTCTTTAAATTAAAAGATATAAAAAAAATTGACCAATTAAATAATGTCACTTGTTATTTTTGAGCATTTGAATTCTACCAATCAAATTATGTTATGACCATATGATGACATAAGTTTGTCTAATAAGATTGCACCACCTATGACATAAATGGATCCAATTAGATTGTGACACGTGACAATGGACTTAAAATCAAATGGGTCCAAACTACCTAAGGTCCATTAAAGATCCTATAAATAAATGAGTTCATTCACTATCTAATTCATCTACATAGTATCAAAATCCTTTCCACACATAGGATTAAAAGCCTCCCGCCCTCTAAAGATCATGGAGAAGCCAAAGAAGATCTCCATCAACAAGTCGCCAGAAGGCCGGTCAAGATCAACAAGCCGCCAGAAGGCCGATCAATATCTTTATTTTAACTTAAATTAACTCAATAATTATAATATTTAATTATATTAAATTATTTAATATAAAAAATTTTGAAGTTTCAAGAGTTTCGCGCATGTTTCGTTTTTCACATTACTCTTATTTCTCTCTGGATTTTTTCTTTTAACGTAGTCAAATTTTCACCTTCAGCCAAGTGTTGCCATTAACAATGACTTCACCATTGTCACAATGATCAACTACTATTACAATTTACCTAAACCGTGGTTCCATTTTCTGCCCCCATCAAATGTCACTAGCTAGTAGATATTCAGGTTTCAATGATAGTTAAAAACTGTTATTAACATAATTTATGACAGTTATATAACTATCATGGATTAAGGCATCAAGAAAAAGGAGAATATGACAGTTTTGAAAATTTGTCAGCATTTACAACTACAGTTATAATTTGTCAATAGATCTTTCATCAGAATTAAAAGTTGAAAGGAAAATTAGAGCTTGGTTCTCCCAATTTCTCAAAAATTCTATTTTAAAAACTTTAATTAAATTTGTAAARGATTTGAGAAGAACCGTAAACAACTTGTGTATTTCAACTTAGGGATAAATTTAATGAAAAAAGTTAAATTTACAAAACATCTTATTTAACATTTAATTAAAAATCTTTTTAAAAAATTTGAACATTTAATGACTTAATTTTATATGAAAGATTAAAACTAAAGTCCGAATCCCTTTTCCCAACTTTAAATATTCAACTTTGAATTTAAGATTAAAAAAAAAAGTATTTTTCAAGACCAAGGAGGAACTCATGAATTATATATTATATTATTTGATTTTTACCCTCTATTTCAGTTTAGATATGGGAACTCAATTATTGTTCTTAAATAACATAATCAAATACTCTTAAAACTAAAAATTTGAAAAAGAATTTCAAGACATAAATTAAAAGTTGAAATAGTATAACTTGAAAACGTGGGCGCACACAGAGAGGATTGACTGAAGCTCAATACCCCATCAAAATCTCGGAATAATCACACAACACAGGAAAAATCTTTCCAAACTACAATGAACAAAGATCTGGATTGGTATAGTTTGCAGAAGAAGCTAAAAAGAAAGAAATAGAGGGAAGAAACCACGGTATGGTGGTTTGGGGTCAAGAAACAAGGTGTGAATAGTAGAGGAGAGAGAGTGGTTTTAAATTAAATTAAAAAAAAAGAAAAAAAAGAAGAAGAAAATGTTGGAAAAATTGGGCTATAAGGTGGTGTGGAAAGATAATTGATTGTGGGATGTGGTCCCACTTGTTAATATGTAAGAAATGGAACTAGTGAGTTTTAGTGAGTTTTTAAYGGAGAGAGATGATGGGGAGTTTGGATAATTGGTTTTGTTTGACTATTGTGATTAAAGTTTGTAATTAGTTTATATTGGAATTAAGTGAAATAATTTGGTATTAAATCGATATTTCAGGTCAAGCGGAAATTGGAAGAGCGTGCGACTCCCTTAAAGGATTTGTGAATGGTTGTTTTATTAAACGTTTTTGGATACAAGTCGGTTTTTAATTCTAACAAAATCGATTCCGATGGAAATATTTATCAAATCAACCGATCGATGTCGGTTCGGTCAGTTTTGATCGGTCGGATCGGTTTTTCGRTCTTATATGCTCACCCCTAAGTAGAAGAGAAATTAAGGTGACTTTACTTGGACCATCCACAATTCACGTAGCAATAACTATAATGGAAAAAGGAATTCTTCAAGCCTAAGAAGCACGGACACGAATACAGGACACGGACAAAGACACGGCTATATGTCACTTCCTAAAAATTAGGAGAC